AGGGCCCTTCTCTCTTAATTTTTGTACTCTCCGATCAAGAGGGGTCATGGCCTCCTTAGCTACGCCTATGTCCTCATTCAAGCACTGACGGAATATTGGAATTAGTTTGATTTGTGTTGTTAGCAGTACCATGCAATGTTGCATTTATCCGTCATAAACTGTTTCAAGTTCTTCATATAAAATGTAATGGCTCGCAAAGAACGTAATGTTACTCGTGTAATAATATCATAATCGTTGCGCGCAATGCCGTATGTTTCTAGGAAAAACAAGAACCCAATTCAACCCACAATGGGAATATCGAATCTGCCACCAAATTGTGCTTGACTATATGGTCATATATGTAATACAGTCGAAGGACGAATAAGTAAAATAGCTAGTGATAACCATTGTTCGGGTTGGGCATATATGACCAGCTGTGTAAAGTCGTAACGCGGGATAGACAGGATAGAATTAGGCCAATTATAGACAAGCATGTAGTGAGGACTGTGGAGAGACAATAGGTAGGCGTGTCTACCTATTGCAGTATATAACCGCGTGTTCGACCAGGGACACGGACAGAGCGATAGGTTACACAAACTACAGGCATAGACGCTATTGGTATTGAGACAGCTACTGCACAGCCTAAACCTCGTAAGTTATGTGAGGTTACTCGCGTACCTAGACTGTACGCATTCGCCACGTTATGGGCGGATGCTAGTTAAGTATACGCTATTAAAGAGATTCATGTATACGTTCATACTACTCGTTATAGTCTGTTATTATCTGCATTCACATAGACGCTAGCAAGGGTGTAGTCAACACACTCACGCGTAGCCACTGATGCGATCACGGGTAGAAAGAGTCTACCTTATATATATAACGGATATTGATTATAGTGTGCTTAATGAATTTATAATTCACATGTAGTATGTGATCAATACTTGCTGTTTGCCGCTGTTTTGGAGGTATGGGATACATAGAATCAAGAGCTAATAATACCTAGAGTGTACAACGGAAAAACGGGAAAATAGTGCTATCACACAACATATATTCTACTTTGGCTTGCGAGTCTATAATAATTTCATGATTATTGCCATTAAGCAGAATTCTTTTGCTCTCTAAAAAACAGAGCCAACCGGCTTGTCAACTACTATACTCCTAGCGGAGATATCGGCTCCTAAACCTCCCCTCCCACTGCCGAAACGCCGCCTCGAACTCATTCTTGTCCCCATCCTTTCACGCGGCCTAAGCGTTGCTTCGTGACGAGTTCGGTTTTTTCCGCCATAATATAATGAATGATTTTCGGGTGCAGGTGCAGGGTGGAGGTGACTTTTCGGGGTCGCCATGCCGCTTATATCCCATATCTTTCCTAGCACGGCTAATGCCCGTCATGATGGAAGCCGGCAATGTTTTTTTAATTAAGTCTCTACAACGCAGCTAGTAAGAGTACCAAATTTGGGCATGTGACATCAATTATCAGCGCCTCAAGCGGTGACGGAAACCGATAGCCGAAATGCTTAGACGCGTGAAGGATTCGGACAGAGTGGATCAAGGCGGCGTTTGGCATTGTGGGACGGGAGGGTTTAGCGAAGCGATATCCTCCGCTAGGAAGTTCGTATGACAAGCGGTTGGTCTTGTTTTTAGAGAGCAAGAATTCTTGCTTAATGCAATACATGAAATTATTATAGACTCGCAGGCAAAGTAGAATAATGTTGTCGTGAAATAGCACTATTTTCTCCGTTTTTCCGTTGTACACTCTAGTATTATTAGCTCTTGATAAGAATTATAGGTGATTAGTGCGAATTTTGCAGCGTTAAAGGGGTAATTGAGTGCATCATGTGCATGAGTTCTTACGGGCAGTGTGGGTGTGTGTGTGTATTATGTTTTGTTGCACCATTTCCATTTTTTATTGATAATGTATTTTTTGTGCATTTCGCAGGGTAGGGGTAGGGTAAGTTATGTGAAGTGGACTCTTTTTTTTTTTTTGTTTTGCTCGCCGATCAACAGGGGGCCATGGCCCCCTTGTGCCCCCCCCCTTAGCTACGCCAGTGCTGATACTGCACACCTTGGTCGGCCGGTTGATCTTACGGCTGCTTTAAAAACTGGTTGATTCTTTCACAACAGTCGAAAACTCACCGCATATTGTCTCCGAATCAGGAACCGGATTTTACCTTAATTCCAATAAATGTGTGTAACGTCGGGAAGGGGGTGCGACGGGTGCGCCCGCACCCCCCACAGGCCGCGACGGGTGCGCCCGCACCCCCTCAGGCTGCGACGGGTGCGCCCGCACCCCCTCAGGCTGCGACGGGTGCGCCCGCACCCCCTCAGGCTGCGACGGGTGCGCCCGCACCCCCCACAGGCTGCGACGGGTGCGCCCGCACCCCCCACAGGCTGCGACGGGTGCGCCCGCACCCCCAACAGGCTGCAAATGTCCACTTTTCTGTGCACCAACGATTTAAAAAAATGTGAATTTAGAAAAAAACAATAGCATTGTTTGTGTTCTAATTCGCTGATTGTGTAGTAAAAATGAAATAAATAAGCAAAGAAAAAATATTCCATGTTTGATTAGCAGCCGGCGACGGAGATAGTCAATAGATGACATTGACCAAGACATTGACATTGTTATTCGCTAAAATTGTAAAATGCATGTAGTCTGTTTGCCGAAAAATCCATTTTGAATTCAAAAATGTGAGAAATGTCCTCGGTTTGAGGTTCGCTTTTGGCTGCCTGCTTTCATATCATACTGCCTTCAAAATGCGCGAAATGCAGTCTCAGGCAAGCTAATTTTCAAAATTTCCCGCGGGGCATGCTCCCGGACCCCCCCCCTAGAGACTGGCGATTCCGTCGCTTGTTTGGTCCGTATACTCGTTGGATCGCACCCTCCCGTAAAAAAACCTGCTTACGGGCCTGTGATGTAGTTCCCATCGTAATAAACAATTCAGGTTTATTGAGGCACGCGCAGCGCAGCACAATTATTAAATGTTCTCATTCTCTACTTATATTAAACGCCTAAGCCAACAGCTAATGCGCATTAAGCTAATTATAATTAATTAAATAACAAATAATGTAATAATATTAGTGAAAGATTGAGGTGACGACTGCGCTAGAGCAATCTCTGGAGTGATCAAATAATCTAATGATATTAGTAATATTAGAATAATACCATTATTAATCATGCATGTATATTATGTAAAACCATTGAGGTTATGACTGCTCTGGACAGTCTGCAGCCCGGTATACGCGCGAAGCGCGAACAGCACCACCTGGTGGTGCCTTTAGAGACAATTCGCTGCCCAATATGTATAACTATATACGCAAGGCCCTCTGGGTACTACAGAAAGCCCGAGAATCGGTCAATTGAGCAGTTCTGGCGCTTGCAGAAACCTTTCGACTTTGCACGTAGGGCGAGAATAAATCCAATGGTCGTAATTGGTAATTTTTTTGCTTCGCGCAGTAGTTTTTTTGGTATAAAAGGGATTTCGAATGTCTTTAATTACACGCCGTGAATTTATTCTGGTACTATCGCTACCCGTAGATGGCGCGACGAGTCTCTCTTCGAGGGATGTTGGAGAGAATTTCCCACAGAAAGAACGGCAATTAGGCTTAGACTGCCCCACGGTGGAGTTTGTAACGCTCGAGTTACTATAACTTTAGTGTAGCGAGAACATAACTAAGCCAATATTGATATGGGCTCTACGCAGATTAAAATGAGCATAGTGCTCGTGTGTAATTCCTGAGAAGTCTAAAGAACAACTTCCATACACAGTCATTGTACGACGTCAACTAGAATGATACATATTATATCAATCATAATAGGTAGTGGTTTATGGTTTAGGGGTTCTCTGTTCGATAGCTTACGTATGTATAATCGCGCCATGACCATAATATGTAAATAATGAGAGCCAAGTATTAATCAATCGTTGAGCTATCACGGTAAAATGGCATACCGCAATTGCATTCTTTGGCTCAAGCATCCCCTGGCGTGCCGATCTGCCGACATGGTCAAGCTAAAGCGAGTGATTTGGCGGCGACGAAATGGACGTTCACAGGCAGACAGACACAGCGGAACGACTGGTTAAAGAAAAAAAAGATAAATTATTTGAACAAACAATCCGAGTAGGCCTAAACCGTGTGGTTAGAGGAGTCTTTTCGACTGCTAGTAAAATCTAGGACGCGCAGCGCCACTTGGTCGCATTTGTAGTGAGAGTACTATAAGTTTTTTCTCTAAGAATAGAGATCTATAGTCTAAAGTTATGTAGAACTGGGTCCTGTAATTCCCACTTGCAGCAAATCAAGTAAGTATCGAAAGTAATTCTTGCCCGGCAACATGTCGGAGCTTAAAGATGGTTTAACGTCCATGCGTTGGTTGGCTCGCCGTGCTGGGGTGGATGTTGATTGATGATTGTAGAAGTCAGCATGGCGGTGAGCAGTAAACCGGCGGCAGCTGGAGGCAGTTTAATGTAAGGCCGGCGCTATATACTGTGGATAGAGCTAGGTTAGGTCACTTATTCAGTAAGTTGTCTTATTTTAATACAGCTAAATAAGAGTTAGTCATCTATTACTATTGACTGATTAGCCGTCGTGCGTCCTGGTAGTCTACTAGTCTATACTAAAAAAAGTATGGCGTGGTAACTAGTAGTGACTATACATTACCTACTAGTATAATACTATAGGTAGTATGATAGATGCGCTCGAAAGGGTAACAAACGGCATAGCCTGTTTGCGTATACGCCGGATCGTTTACACTGGTCTCTTAGTGCCTGCTAGTGGCTGACATCTAAAACGAAACTGAATGATGCATATGTGTGCTGTAGCGTGGCGGGCTTGATCATGCCTAGTGTGGCCTGAGTGAAATGCAAAAACGGCAAAACGTGACCTGAGTCTGAGACGGAGATGCGCGAGCGCCGGGGGGCCCCCCCCCCTGACCCCCCCCACCCCCCCCTCCCCCCCCCGCCCCCGCCCCCCCCCCCAGCCCCACCCCCCCCCCGCCCCCCCCCCCCCCTCAACAGTTCATAGAGAGAAGGAAGATCGGCTAACGATACATAAAAACTGAGCGTCAAACGATTCACCTGCCGTGTCCAATTTACTTGGTACGACGTTGCATTACGCCAAGTTC